CTATCTATCTATCTATCTATCTATCTATCTATCTATCTATCTATCTAATCTATCTAATCTTCTACCCATCTATAATCTTTCTAATTTCTCTCTCTCCTATATCTACCTATCTGTCTATCTAATATCTCATCTTTTTCTCTATTTTCTAACACATATTTATTATGTGATAGATTATAGAGAAAGAAGGTAATTAGGATTATTGAAGGTGGTTTTTATGTCTTTCTCATCTCACTTTCCTTTTTCAGTTTTCTCTTCTTGGAAGTACCTGAATGATCATTTTTGGCAAGCAGAATTTCTAGAGTAATCACAATACCTACCATCACATCAGCAAAGATCCCACCTGGAAAATCAACACAACCCAGAAAGGCCCAACAGAGACACCATTTCCTCAGAGTCTTGCAGAAGAATAAAGTAGAACAATGACTGATGACCTCCTTTTACTGATCCACAAAAGAAAGCGTCCTCACATATTGCATTGAGGTGTGGTATGCTGGCTTGATAGCCATGGATAGAAAGACATTACAGAGGGTGGTGAGCACAGCATTGTGGGCTGTTCCCTGATACCACTAGATGACCTCGCTAGGGCTCGCTGCCTTAGAAGAGTGAGGAAAATCCTCAGGGTTGACTCACACCCTGGTCAGCATTTCTTCACTTTCCTACCATTGGGTAGATTAACAGATAACAGATAATCAGAGTTGGAAGGGACCTTGTAGGCCATCTAGTCCAACCCCCCGCCCAAGTGGGAGACCCTACACCATTTCTGACAAATGGCAGTCCAATCTCTTTTTGAAAGTGTCAAGTGATGGCGTTCCCACATCTTCCGAGGGGCAAGCTGCTCCATTGGTTTTGTTCTGTCAGAAAGTTTCTCCTTATTTCCTGGTTAAATCTCTCCTTGTTCAGTTTCCATCCATTGTTCCTTGTCTGGCTTATAGAGATGGAAAAGCATAGCCAGCCGCACCAACAGGCTGAAGAACAGTTTCTACCTGTGGGCTGTCAGACTCCTGAATGGAAAATAACTTCATGTCAACATAGTATGATAGACTTGCAGGGCCGGTGCGTTGTGCAATAAGTTCACATGCTGTAATAAGATTGTGTGTTCGTTAGTAGGATTCACTGACTTTCTGTCCACTGTGAGTTGTGCTGGGGGTGTGTGTGTGTGTGTGCACAAAGGGAGGCTCAGCCAATCTCACTGTACGCATGTTGTACTGACAATAAAGGTTGATTTGATTCAATAACTCTGTAAGGAAGAAACTTGTGGGAAATGGCCATTATTTGGACAATTGACTCCCTAGATACCTAAACGTTTGAACCAAATTCTCTAGGAGAAAGTAGGAAAATGATTCCACGTTGACTGCATGGTACTGCAAATTTCATGAATGTACTATTTAAATAAATAAGATGTTGCAATTTAGAAACTTCTCTTGAGATTTCATTGGTATTTAATTCGTATCAACAAACTCCAAATTAGCAGAAGCTTTCCACAAATTTGGAGAAGAGGAAAAAGAGACAACCCAGAAATGTATTTTAACAACTGTTTTTGGTCAGTGGCACAATCTAAACGCTGGGACCATATTAATGATAGCAAAAAAGAGAGTCTCGTTTAACAAAATAAATTTTATTCAGACCAATGCATTTCCCAGGAGACATGCAGGCTGAAAGAACAAATGGAATTAAAACTGCAGGAACAAATGGAACAAGAAATTTTCAATTGAAGTAAAGCATCTATTCGGCTCACCAGTAAATTTTTCCCGCCCCCACAAATCTGTTAAGATTAAAATCAAAAACTTGCTGACAATGTTAGGACAAAATCTAAAAAATTTTGTTTTCAGGAATCTTGGCAACTTTTTTAAGACTTGTGGACTTCAATTCCCAGAGTTCCCCAGAATTCACTGGCTGGGGAATTCTAGGAGTTGAAGTCCACAGGTCTTAAAACTGCCATGGTTGGACATCTTTATTCCAACCGGTCACAACGAGGACACCTCTGGCTGTGCATCACACAAGACAGAAGAAAGAAACAAGGTGTAGAGCAACACAACCCTTAAATGCAACCTAGTGGTTAGAGAGTAGGGATGGCTTTAAGACTGCATCTCAGGAGGCCCCACCAAGAGCCATCAATCGGAAATTCTCCAAACACAGCGTGTCTTCTTCTGTTCTCCATCCGCTTGGAAGCTCACAGCTTCTCCTTCTCGGTTTATTTCCGTCTCCGTGAGATCTCCAAGTTAAGAGGAACTTCGTCCCTTAGAACCTACAGAAGAATAAGAGTTAGAAGGGACCTTGGAGGTCTTCTACCATTTCCCTGAAAACACGACCTACCCCAAAAGTAAGTCCTAGCTTGATTTTTTACACGAGCCCAATATAAGCCCTACCCCCCCAAAATAAGCCCTAATTAAGACCCCACCCACTCCAGAGTGCACGGGTAAAAATTAAGCTAGGGTGGGGATGGTGGGTGGTGGAGTTGCCCTGCTACTTACCTTTGGACAGTTGTAGCCAGGCCTCGCACACCCCGACACCTGCCTTGCCGGCCCGTTTCTTCTGCAGCCAGCAAGGCCGGCAAAGGCTTTCCTGATGGCCTCTGGAGCTGATGATAAAGCTCCGGATTGATTCGGAGTTATCAGCTGTTATCGGCTGCAGAGGCCTTCAGGAAAGCCTTGCCAGCTGCAGAAGAAGAAGCTCCCGAAGGCTTCTGACAGCGAAAAGGAGGCCAGGAGCGGCAAGTGAGGTTAGTCAGTGGATGACATCTCCCCAAAATAAGACCTGGTGCCTTTTTTGGGCGGCAAAAAATATATAAGACGGGGTCTTATTTTCGGGGAAACACCCTTGTTCAAACAGGGTGACCAAAAGGCATCCCAACGATTAGAGAAGGAACCCAAGCCAGAAGACCTCTAGACCAACAGAAGAGGAGAAGGTTCACCTGGATCAGGCGCCTGCGATATGCTTCCTCGTCCTCCGTCGGTCCCCTGGGGAGCAGCTGGGCAGCCGTGAGGTGTCTCCGGCATACGATCTCCACCTCCTGCAAGGTGTAGAAGACGGCGGGATCCAGAGCATGACTGTTGATCAGACTGACTAGGTATTCCTTGTAGTGCGCCCGGGGGGGGGGGGGGGGGGAGGAAATCAAGAAATCCATCAGTGTGACCCTCAGGTCTCCTGCCCCCCACCTCCCCAGCCACGGCTCACCAGGTCTCTAGACCCCCTTGTTAGAACCACCATCTCGCTCAGGGTCTCCAAAACCGGCAATTTTAAGACTTGTGGACTTCAACTCCCAGAATCCCTCATTGCTGGCCAGGGAATTTTGGGAGTTGAAGTCCACAAGTTTTAAAGTTGCCACGTTTGGAGGCTATTGATCTAGTTAAAACAGGGAACTCGATTTCATTGAGAGCCACATCAGAGTTGTGTTTGACCTTTGGGGGGCCGGGGGGGGCGCGGCCCCCTCACATGACCCGGGGTTGGGGGGGGGGGGGACACCTGTGGTGGCCAAGTGCTAAGACAGGACTTCCCTCAGACCTTCCCTCCCTCTCATTATAATCTTCTCCTTCCTCCTTCCTTCCTTCCTTCCTTCCTTCCTTCCTTCCTTCCTTCCTTCCCCTCTTTCCTTTTTTTTCCTTCCTTGCTCTTTCCCCATCTTTCCTTCTTTTTCTTTGTCCTTCCTCTTTCCACTTATCCTTTCCTGTCCCTTCTAGGATGCTCAAATGTAAAAAAGGGGAAACGCTTATCCTTCTGTTGTGTTTTTGGTTTGTTTTTGCTTGCAGAGACACTGCGAGCCAGATCTAAGCACCCCACAGGCTGCATCCGGCCTGGAGTTAAAACCTTGCTGGTCCCTCCGGAATCAAAGAGATGGGAGTCCCCAGAGGTCATCAAGATCAACTCCCAAGACAGGGGTGGGGGCGAAGGAGGAGAGAGAGAGGGGGGGAAACCTGGGCTGTCCACTAGCCCTCAGATGGAGAGTTTAGCTTAGTTTACTTTATTGTCACTGCACCTCATATAACGAAATTAAATGCCATCTTCAGTGTACATTATAACTATAAAAATAAAACACAAACACACACCCTTCGCATTCTATACAATTGAACTGAAAACCCCTGATATTGCATTCATATTGCACTAAATACACTATAATTCAAAAGAGCTACTGACCTGGAAGAAGCTGTTTTTCAGCCTACTTGTCCTTGTTTTTATTATTATTCTGTACCGTCTGCCAGATGGTAATAGTTAAAAAAAAAGGGGGGGGGGGGGTGCCCAGGGTGGGACGGATCTTTGAGAACGTTTTGAACTTTCTTAAGGCAGCGGGAGCTATGAAGCTCTTCCAGAGAGGGGAGAGAGGCTGGGCCGGCCGTCAGTCAACAGCCCCCAGGTCTGTAAGTGGCGGATGAGGAAGAGGAGGAACCCACAAAGGGGTTTTACTCACTCGCAAAGGCCAGCATATCCGGCCGGAGTCTCTTTGCTGCACGGTTCATCCTTCAAGCCGTCCAGGGTTTCTTTCTGCTCCATAACCCGACATCCACCTGCGTGCAGAGGGGAGGACCCCAACGGTTGAAACCTGCCCGTTCCCTCATTGGATCGGGACGACAGGAAGTCCTCGACCTACGATCACAATGGAGCCCAACGCTCGTGTTGCTAAGCGAGACAGTGGTTCAAGCAAAAGTCAACGGGAAAGCCGGATTCATTTAACAGCCGTGTGACTAACTTAACAACTGCAATGATTCACTTCACAACTGCAGCAAAAAAGGTCAAAAAAACCAGAGCAAAATTTGCTGAACCATCGTCTTACTTAAAAAGTTTGGGCTAAATGGTGGTCGTACAACAAGGACTCTCTGTAAAGGTAAAAGGGAAGGGAAATAAAGTAGAATGAAGTGGAGTAAAATAAAATAAAGTCAAGTTAAGTAAAGAAAAATGAAGTGAAGGAAAGTAAAATAAAGTGAAGTAAAATAAAATAAAGTAAAATAAAGCGCAGTGAAGTAAAATAAAGTAAAATGAAGTGGAGTAAAATAAAATAAAGTCAAGTTAAGTAAAGAAAAATGAAGTGAAGGAAAGTAAAATAAAGTAAAATGAAGTGAAGTAAAATAAACTAAAATAAAATAAAGTGAAGTAAAATAAAGTAAAATGAAATGAAGTAAAATAAAATAAAGTGAAGTAAAATAAAGTAAAATAAAGTGAAGTAAAATAAAATAAAGTGAAGTAAAATAAAGTGAAGTAAAATAAAGTGGAGTGGGGTAGAGTAGAGAGCAGTGACGTAAAGTGAAATATTTGAAGGTGAAAGCTTTCATTCAGGACTTAAAACGAAGCCAGGACAGGACAGGTGAGCTTCCCAGCAACTTGGTCACACGCACCTCCGGGAGTGGCCCGGGTCCCCGCTGGGGGGTCTGTGTTGAAGGCAACGTCGTTATCCTGGAGTGGAGAGAAGGAAAGAGAACCCCAGTTAGTCCCCCAAGAGGCCTGTCCCCCCTATAAGCCCCCTTGGCTTCCACCCCCCCCCCTCCCCCGTTCCTGATGCCCCCCCACCCCCACACCATGCCCGACCCACCTGGAGGAGCTTCTGCAGACGTGGCACGCCCCAGTCCCGCAGGTAGAAGAGGCAGTCGCGTGGGTGGTGTCCGTGGAGGGACCGCCGGATTGGGCAGTGCGGTATCGGGCATTTCTGGCAGAGATGAAGGGAAAAAACAATAATAAAAAACCAGGGTAGGAAAATGGTTGAACTGCCCACCAATTCCCCTACATGAAAATTACACGCAGTCCTCGATTTACGACCACAACCGAGCCCAATATTTCAGCTTGGGCAAAATTTCTGTCACGCATGTCCAAGGGAGACGTTTTGTCAAGGGAGCTTTGGTCCCTTTTGACGGCCTTTCTTGCCATGGTCGTTAAGCGAAGCGGTTAACTTAGTCACGCGGTTGTTAAGCGGATCTCCATGGGCTTTTTTTTTGTCAGGAGGTCGCAAAATGGGGACCGCGTGACCCCCAGGGGGACACTGTGACCGTCATAAAAACAAGTCACACGGGGGATGCCGCAACCGTCGTAGTGTGATAATTGATCGTAAGTCACTTTTTCCAGTGCTTCAAATAACCAACAAGTAAAATAATGTAATTCGAGGAGTTATTACTCCATTCTATAGGGAATGTTAGCCTCTCTTTCTAACAGATGTGTGATAAATACCAATTTATATATATATTTTTCCAACCCAGCTCACCTCCTCTGAAAAACTGGAACTAAGTTGTAACCCCCCATTAAATATGAAAAGTAACTACCATTTGGAAGAATTACAAGGGAACATTGTCAAATAATAACGTTTTCCTGAAAATACGACCTATCCCGAAAGTAAGTACTAGCTTGATTTTTACACATGCGCCCAATATAAGCCCTACCCCCAAAATAAGACCTAATTAAGACTCCACCCACTCCAGAGTAGACGGGTAAAAATTAACCTAGGGTGAGGATGGGGTGGTGGTGGAGCCTTTGGACAGTTGTAGCCAGGCCTCGCACACCCTGACACCTGCCTTGCCGTCCCGTTTCTTCTGCAGCCAGCAAGGCTTTCCTGAAGGCCTCTGGAGCTGAGAGCAAAGCTCAGGATCGATCCAGAGCTCTTGTTATCGGATGTCGAGGCCTTCAGGAAAGCCTTGCCGGCTGGAGAAGAACTTCCTGAAGGCCTCTGACAGCAAAAAGGAGGCCGGGGGCGACACGTGCAAGTGAGGTTAGTCAGTGGATGACATCCCCCGAAAATAAGACCTGGTGCCTCTTTTGGTGGAAAAAAATATATAAGACAGGGTCTTATTTTCGGGGAAACACAGTATCCGGAGAGAAAGAACAGTAGAGAGGAGGGCCTTGAACAAATTATGGAAAAGTTAACAAAAACATGAATTTGGGCCAGGAAGACAAGATAATGAGGGGGGAAAAAAGTCCTGCAATTTCAAATCTGCCATGACAATTCTGGATGCAAGAGAAGACAAACAGAAAAATATTGGAAAGATGAAGAAACACCTCCAGATGAAGAGATAATTAAGAAGATATTAGACTGTGCAGAAATGGACAGACCTACATTGAAAATCAAACAGAAAAGAAGACACAGAATATTATCAAACTTGGAATTTATTTTACTAGTGGTTGGGAAAAAGGGATGGAGAGGAAGAATAGTATTTGCATTGTTAAGCAAATCAAATACCCAGACAACACAATTAGTATTAAGCCCTAAGTAATGTAATTAATAGAAAATTAATAAAATTGATTAAAAAATGAGAAAGAAACATATTTTCCTGATCTTGTGACAACACCTGTTATCAATATCGCAGAATTCCAGCATTTTGAAGTTGCTTTCTCACACGGTAGATAGCCCTTGAACATTCAAGTCACCACAGCATTGGAAAAAAAGGGGTCTTATGACCATTTTTCCTGCTTACGACCGTTGCAGGATCCCCACTGGCCACCGGATCAAAATCTGGATGCTTGGCAACTGACTCATATTTATGACGGTCATAGTGTCCCTGGGGGTCACGTGATCACCTTTTGCGACAAGTAATTTGAACGAAGAAGCCAGATTCACTGAACAACCATTTGCCTGGGGCTCATTGCTCACTTAACATCGGCAAGGATTCCCTTAGCAACAGTGGCAAAAGGTTGTAAAATGGGACGAAACTCAGTTTTGCTTATTAGCGACGGAAAGTTTGGGTTCCATTGTGGTCGTATGTTTGAGGACTACCTGTATCTTTATTTTTCCTGTGGTTTTGTTAACCATCTCTGCCTCCGTTCCCCAAATTCACCTCTACAAGGCCCACAGGGGGAGAATAAATAGCAACAGGGTACCGAGTTCCAGAGTTGCCCCACAAACACACAATCCCCGAGCATCCTTACGTTGGAGGCATAAAACGTCCCGTAACATCCACTGCAGAAATGGTGCCTGCACTGGGAACACTGGAAGTGCATGCAACCCCCTCGAGCCAAGGCGTACGAGAACTTGCATTTGGGACAAGCTGGAAGAAGAGGGGGAAAAAAGAGATTTTTACTCCTTGGCTTGTTTCCCGCCTGTTATTATTTTCACACATACCGTATTTATCGGCGTATAACACGCACTTTTTTCCCCCTGAAAATAGGGGGCAAATGATGTATGCGTGTTATACGCCGATATAATGTTAAGAAGCCTTCGGTGAATGCTGCTGGGATCGGGGATCAAGGACACAAATGAAAGAAGGGGAGGGAGGAAGCAACCGAAGCCTGTCCTGCTCTCTGGGTCAGCTCTCTCAGTCGCTCTCTCGCTCCTCCACCAGCACAGGAAGAAACTGCTTCAAAGAAGCGGGGGGGGGGCTTTTCCTGTCGCCTTTCTCCCCCACCCCGTCCGCCCGCCCGCCTGCCCGCCGTGCTCCGTTCTGCCTGCCTGCCTGCCTTCGTTAATGGTTGAATCGGAACAGCTTCGGCTGAGTAAAAGAGGCGAATAGTTATTATTCTCAGCCGAAGCTGCTCCCAAACAACCAGAAACTAAGGCAGGCAGGCAGAATTTTTTTACATTTTTTTTCCTGAAATTTCCCCCTTAAAATGAAGATGCGTGTTATACGCCTGTGCGTGTTATACGCCGATAAATACGGTAACTCAAGGTGAAAAACATATCCGATAAACTTTCCTCCTCCTATTTTCCCCACAACAACCACCCTGTGAGGTGGGTTCAGCTGAGAGAGAGAGGGACTGGCCTGAAGTCAACCATCTGGCTTTCATGGCTGAGGCTGAACTAGAACTCCCTGTCTCCAGGTGATTGGCCCAAAGTCATCCAGCCAGCTTTCGTGCCTAACATGGACTAGAACTCCCACTCCTAATAATTGGCCCAAAGTCACATATCATGCTATTTGCCTAAGGTGGGGCTAGAATTCCCAATCTTCTGGCAATTGGCCCAAAGTTAGCTAGCCAATGTTTGTGCCTAACATGGACTAGAACTCCCCATCTCCTAGTGACTGGCCCAAAGTCGCCCATCTGGCTACTGTACCTAAGGGAGGACTAGAACTCTCTGCCTCGTGGTGATTGGCCCAAAGTCACCCAGCCGACTTTCACGGCTAAGGTCACGGGCTCCTGCTTTCTAGCCTGCTGCCTTAACTACTAGACAACACTGTTTCTATCACAGAATCATAGGGCTGGAAGGGACCTTGGAGGTCCTCTAGTCCAACCCCAGGCCAAAGCAGCAAGTTAAGGAGAGACTCCCAAGCATTGGGGATAGGAAGTGGGAGCATTAGAATCCAGCTCTAGGCTTAGTGTAGGAAACTCAAGTTGGCTCAAAGCTACCTCAAGTTTCTCGGCGTGTCCCAAAACGAAACTGGGGGCAAAATCCTTACCGATACCGTTCTCTTGGAGATACATTGCCAAGCCTTGCGCCTGGTATTCAGGGTCGTTGGTTCGCTTCCACTCCAGGAACGCTTCGCAGGTCAGACCCTGATGCTGGGGCTCCCACTGTCGCCGCGGAAGAAAGAAAAAAAAAAGAGACACCCCAAACTCAGCATTTAGCCTTCCATCCTCCTGTTCCCCAACAGGAGAAGAGGCCAAGCAACCTCAAACAAATAGAAGCTTAGCTTGCTTCGGACATGCGCTAGCTCTTTCCAACCAATCCGCTATAACCGTTCTGCGGGCTGTTGGCCTGAGCTCCGAGCTTGGCGATTTGGTTGCTGTTGTGGCCTGCTGGTAACTGGCGGAGCTGGCAGCAGAGTTGGACAGTAGTGAGGAGGTTGGGGAGGAACCCAGGCCGGTCCTAGAGGCCGAGGAAGGCTCAGACGAGAGCTCTGCGTCAGAGGCAGAGAGGGGGCCAGGGGAGGCTGGCAGTCATCAGCTGCCTTTGGGCTTGGACAGCAGTGAGGCGGGGAAGCTTCTGGAACCGGTTCCCAGCCTGCGCATGCGCAGAGCTGCCAAAAGGAAGGCACAATTAAGAACTCAGGGTCAATGTGGGAGTAAGGTCGTATTTGGACGATGAATGGCCCCTCCCATCAGGATTAAAACAGAAGCAAAAGGGGAGGGGGCTTTTGCAGGAAACAATTTGCTCGTTCGTTCCAGCCTCGTGAAGATTTGTCTGTATAACCCAGACCTTCCCTGTCAGCACTGAGTGTGGAATTATACCAAGCAGTCTTCCGGGATTGATAAAGGTCTGAGCTAATAAGAATACCTTTGCAAGGCTGTTTGCCAAGCTGTTGGCTGAGTGTGAATGAAATAAATTCACATTAATGTAATAAAAGAGGTTTTTGCCGGGACTCAGAACTGACTTAGTGCTTTTTGGGGAGGCCTAGGACAGAACAGTTGCAAACATTTTGTCACCATCTGAGGAGACATCGTCAGTGCGCTTCGAATTGGGCTTGTCTGACAGATGGGCCCACTTCAAAGTGAACGGACAGTGTCTCCTCCAACGGTGATGAAACGTTTGCAACCCAAATCGCCAAGCTCGGAGCTCAGGCCATCAACCCAACATCCAATCCGAGCTACTTATAACAGATAACAGATAATCAGAGTTGGAAGGGACCCTACACCATTTCTGACAAATGGTAATCCAATCTCTTCTTGAAAGTCTCAAGTGATGGCACAACTTCCGAGGAAAACTTCTGTTCCATTGGTTGATTGTTCTCACTGTCAGAAAGTATTCTCCTTATTTCCAGGTTAAATCTTTCCTTGTTCAGTTTCCATCCATTATTCCTTGTCTGGCCTTCAGGTGCCTTGGAAAATAGCTTGACCTCTTCCTCCTCTCTGGATAGGGGAGATCCTGTCTCCCCTGGTCCTTCTCTTCACTAGACTAGCCAGGCCCAGTTCCTGCAACCGTTCATTGTATGTTTTAGCCTCCAGTCCCCTAACCATCCTGGTTGCTCTTCTCTGCACTTTTTCTAAAGTCTCAACATCTTTTTCGTAGTGTGGTGACCAAAACTGGATGCAGTACTCTAGGTGTGACCTTACTAAGGCTTTATAGAGTGGTATCAGTACTCCCCTTGATCTTGACTGTATCCCTCTCTTAATACAATTTAGGATTGCATTGGCTTTTTTGGCTGCCGCTGCACACTGCTGGCTCCTATTTAGCTGGTTGTCCACTAAGACTCCAAGATCCCTCTCCCAGTTACTGCTATTGAGCCTGGTTTCACCCAGTCTATATGTGTACTTTGGGTTTTTCATGCCTAAGTGTAGGACTTTACTTTTCTCTACCTTGAATTTCATTTTGTTAGATACGGCCCAGTGTTCTCGTCTGTCAAGGTCCATCTGGATCTTGAGCCTGTCTTCTTGGGTGTTGGCTATTCCTGCCAGCTTAGTATCGTCTGCAGATTTGGTAAGTTCTCCTGCTATTCCCTCATCTAAGTCATTAATGAAGACATTGAAGAGTCCTGGGCCTAAGACGGAACCTTGTGGCACCCCATTGCTCCATGTAGACTTAGACCCATTAAGGACTACTCGTTGAGTACAGATTGCCAGCCAGTTGCAAGTCCATCTAGTGGTGGTGCTATCTATTCCACTTTTTTCTAGCTTACTAGCTTACTAAATTCAAATACATTTCAGTAACTGTTGCGTACTGACTTATGGTGCAACCCTTCAGAGTTCCAGCTACTGAATTTAAATGTAGGATAGAATAACAGAGTTGGAAGGGACCTTGGAGGTCTTCTAGTCCAACCCACTGCTCAAGCAGGAGACCCTATACCCTTTCAGACAAATGGTCGCCCTATCACTTCTTAAAAAGAAGGAGCAGGAGTGGAAGGAGCAGGAAGAAGAGGAGGAGCGGAGGAGGAATAAAGAATAACAGAGTTGGAAGGGACCTTGGAGGTCTTCTAGTCCAACCCCCTGCTCAGGCAGGCTGTTCTGTCTTCGACAAATATTTCCACACCAAAGGCTTACCAACCTGGCGTTTGCACTGGACGCAGAAACATTTCCGGCATTGCGGGCATTTGGCTTCCAGCTGCTCCGATTCGTAAATGAAACCGAAAGAGCACTAAGGACAAGGAGAAAAATAAATAAATCCTTTTTAGCCCGGGCTGGGATCAGATCTTCCTTGACTCCGGGAAGTGGGTGCAGAGACTGTCCTTAAATAAAAAAGAAACTAAATCCGATGGAGTCCTTACATCTTATTTCGATGATGACCTGGACATTTTGACTTGTCTTTAAAGCAACCAGCTCCTAGTCCACTTGGAGATGAATGGATGTTCATTGTTTATTGATTTCTATCCCGTCTTGATTATTTTATAAGTAGCTGTTGAACCTATCTAATACTCAACTGTTCTATTTTCCCTGCAACAACGACCCTGCAAGGTGGTCTGGGCTGTGGAGGAGGGACTGGCCCAAAGTCACCCATCTCGTATCGTGCCTAAGGCAGGACTAGAGTTCCCAGTCTCCTGGCGATTGTCCCAAAGTTAGCCAGCCGGCTTTTGTGCGTAACATGGACTAGAACTCCCCATCTCCTAGTGACTGGCCCAAAGTCACCCATCTGGCCATTGTACTTAAGGCAGAACTAGAACTCCCAGTCTCTTAGCAATTGGCCCAAAATTACCCTGCCAGCTTTTGTGCGTAACATGGACTAGAACTCCCCATCTCCTAGTGACTGGCCCAAAATCACCCATCTGGCTATCGAACCTAAGGGAGGACTAGAACTCCCAGTTTCCTGGCGATTGGCCCAAAATTACCCTGCCAGCTTTCGTGCCTAAGGCGGATTACAACTATGGTGATTGGTCCAAAGTCACCCAGCCTGCTTTCATGTTTAAGGCAGAACTAGAACTCCCAGTCTCCTGGCTTCTAGCCTGGCTCCTTAAGCACTGGACCGATAACAATAATCCAAAATTCTGGATCAAAATTTCTGTAGAAACCAATCAAATTAAAAAAAAAGGCAACGCAGGAAACCTATTATTTCTACAGTCTTCTTAGGTGGTCAGATCAGTCTCGGACACCCATGTTCCCCAGCCAGGAAGCCTACTGAGGCAAGATACTACCACTCCCATCATCCCTAGTCGCCTCACTAGTGGCATGATGGATAGTACAGCCACCTGATCCTCACTGGGAAGTCTCCGGGTTAGGAAAGGTGGCCATCTGTTCCCTGGAAGTCCACCTCCCCATCTTACCTTTATTTTTACCTGTGTACCTGGAGTGGGTGGGATCTTAATTAGGGCTTATTTTGGGGGGG